TTAATATTCTGGCACTTTACGAAGGAAGTCCTGGTCCTACATTTTCCTTCGCCTGGCAGAGGGACGCGGCATAACATAAATTTTTAGCACTTTGTGAAACAAAGCTAGCTGCGAATTTTCCTGTTTAATGCATAGGGTCATGACAAGTTTTTTTCCGTAAGTGTGAGAACTCACCACAGCGATGGCTTGCACATCCCTTTCACGTTATGCAAAGGTTTGCTCCGTCCAGATTAAATATTTGCTTGTGTCTTCTTGTTATTTTACAGAATCTGCGGCTAAATTACTATCAGGAGGAAGAAATTATCGACGAGATGACTCTGGCAAAAGGTATACAATACACATAACGTTAAGATAAATAAATTCACGGAACAACAAAAAGCTTACACAAGTTCCGTCGCATCGACATTTTATACACACTGTCTGATATAACCAGAAAAAAATAGTCTTGACGTCAAAGAAATCCCAAAATAATAGCTCAACATAGAAGAAACTGTTTAAAGAATTAGGAATAAATGTAAAAGAAACAAGATGGTTTGATTTTAAAACAATGAGAGTAGGTTGACGTACAGTGGCTAACTTGTGACTCACAAATGAGTTCAGCATCGTTTGGACTATTGTAGCTGACTGTATATAACAATCAATGAAGTATGAAACCAACAGTATCCGCATACTTTCCTTTGTTAAGCTTTCTGGAGCAAGTCTCTGTTTTAAATTGTGACTTTAGTAATTTAAAGGAAAGAAATGGTTATTCATGTTCAATGACAGATCTCTTAGAGTACAATGAAGACAGGTCGCCGTGGGAGACAGTTGAGGAGAAACTGGATGAAATCAGGTTTGTAACCGAATATTTTGTTCTCATGGGGATTATACTTTAGACATTATGGACTTTTAAAAAAATTGTTTTGGTTTTGTCTGTTTCTTTTCAGGGCTATCATGCGGAAGATCATTAAGCGAATACCTTTACAAGATTAAGATAAAGAGAGATGATGCGCTAGAAGATTGAACTTAAAGTGCACAAGAACGTAATCAGCTTCTTTGATCGAAATTTAAACAATTAGAACAAATTGCATTTCGAAAAACGTAGTTTAAAGAAAGGTGTTTTTAGTTTTGCCACATGAAAAACCAAAAAACAAAGATAAAATTCTGAGTTCGAACCCCAGGCCTTCATACTTTTGACTGCGGTGTTCTGCCACTGAGCTCTCAAGAACTCAAAGGTGAGCCAGGCCATTTCTAGAACGTAGTTAATCAACTTAATAAAAGCCAAAAGACTATTGACGGGCGACATGAAGCCTTATACGCGTATTTTAGTCTAGTACCCAGACCTTTCACGGCCAAGCCTACATTTTAGTAACAGTCACACAGTGGGCTCTGGGTACGAAATTACGCATATTTAACAAGAAGAAGAACGGTAATAGTCGAAACAAAGCTCACTTCTTGTTTTTAAAAAAAAACTAAAGGATTCTATGTAACGAAGGCCAAAACAAAACCTTTTTATCACTTTATGACATCAGAAGCTGTGCAGTATGTAAAACTTCAACCTAAACTGTTTAACTAAGAGGCCAAGAGTGTACACGTAGTGTAAACTAGCCTTATATTTATTTACTGTAAATATCGATTACAAAGTACAAAGTAGCCTAATTTGACAGATAAGATTAAAAAGTTGACATGTTAGTGAACGATGCAAATTTAAAACAGAGTGACTCATTTTCATGGCAATACCGGTAAATAACTTTGGAGTCTTCACTGTAGTTCTAGACATGACAGGAAGCATACGATTCACCCTTTAACCCCGAAGAGTGACAAACATCTAATTTCTCCTTAAATCATGACCCTTAAATCACAAATTAAGGTTACGAGAATGAAGGAAATGATCAACAACTTCAAAAAAACTTGATTGTTAAACAAATTCTCCTTGTCAGCACCTTAGGAACTTATGGAGAACATTAGGGAGAATATGCATACTGATGTTAGGGTGTAAACGGTTAAATGAGCGTGAGGGGAATATGGAAACACGAAGCGAAGGAGCTCCTGTCATGCATGTTACCTCTTAAATCCAAGGGCGTGAAATACCTCGGAACACGTGCCACGTGCCACGAGCCACGTGCCACACGTGCCACGAGATCTAGTGTGAAGAGACTTTCGTATTTATTTATCAGTTTGTTTGTTTTTTGTTTGGTTCGTTAATTTGTGTTTTGTTTATAGGTTCGTGTTTGTGTCTCTAACCATGTTTTTGTTTGTTTTCTCTCTGGTTTAGTCTATGTTTGGGTTGGTGTTTAGTTTTGTCTTTTTCAGTTTTCCGTTTTTGTTTTTGTTGCTTTTTAACAGTCGTTTGGTTCTGATAAAACCTCTCAACTACTCTATGACCAATGACCACTAAGTTTTATTTCTTGTTTTTCTTGACGATCCCTTTTATCGTGTCCACAATTTGTTCCACCTTTGGGTTGGCTTTCAACTCCAGCGACTCACTAACGTGGAAAATCCTCTTCGGAATTCGATCGTAAAACCATTGCTCTGGTCTCCATCCGTAATGAATCACAATTACCCGCTTTGCCATCTCGTCTTCCTCCAAGAATGCTTTAGTGATACTGCCATCGAATACTACAAATTCTTCGTTAAAATCAAACGCTCCCTCCTGCAGAAACTTTTCGCTTTCTTGAGTGTAAACAAGAACGATGCATGGGCTTTGAAAAAGCTCATCCTCCAGAGTAGAATCGTCCTCCAGGGCGTCACTTACTGTGCTAACTTTAGCTAAGGAGCCTAATTTTCCTTGAAGAAAATCTTTCAACTCCTGGCTGCGGGTTTGATCCGCTTGCGCGTAGAGAAAAAGCACGTTGGACATGATATTTGATCTACGAATTAACAGAAAATAATTAGTCCTTTTGTTAACTGAAAACCCGCGATAGTTTTTTCAAAACTCAGTATGATTCTATAACAAGGACCAATTAGGGAAAATTCATAATTTTAGACAAATTTACTCGTCACGTATACTTTACAAAGCATTTCATGCTTCACAAATTTGTAAGGGAAAACTTCAAATCTCTCTTCTTGTATTCAAGGTTTCAGGGAAACCTTGAGGTTTTCTCGGAATGAAAGGAAAAATTCACGGGTGACGCGTATTTCTGGAGGCAAATCATGTCACACTTCGGTTTATAAATTCACGAATCACGCTCGCTCTCCTGAAAAATTCACGCGTCACGTGTTAATTTTTGCGCCAATCACGCGTTACGTGTAAACTCTTGGCCGCACTCTAGTTAAGACGCCATCTTTGTTGATTTTAGGCTAGCGAGTGCTCAGTATTTTCGTAGCAATAATTATGGCCGCCATCTTCGATTTTCATGGCAGCGAAAGGCTGGGGAAATAATTTGTACCAAGGGGTCAGCCGACGGTCAAAAATAACGGAAGAGGTAGGGGTGGGGAAGTGAGGATAACCCGCCCTACCCCCACCGTCCACTCTAATTCCAAATCAAACATGATCGGTCGGATAAACAGTCGCGAGCTTATAACGTTCACTCGCACTGAAGGCTAAGCTTGAAGTATTAACTTTCAAATCGCCAGTCACGCATTCCCTGACACCACATGTAAGAAGAATGCGTGACAAGCCTTCTTGGAGGTTCTATCGCTGCCTGAGCGGTTGACCTTTGACTTTCTCGTTCCATCCATTTTCTTCAACTGAATTTAATTTATTTTCCAAAGAACGATAAAGTAATTGTAACCATAGGCACACGCTTCTGGCATACTTCAGAGGAAATGGGTTGTAAACTAAGCTTTTCTGGCTAATGATTTAAGCAGATAATCGATAACCTGATGAGCTACGCGATCAGATTTTAAAACAGATGCCGTCTAATCTGGTGTAATGCAGGAAACAAACATCTTTTTGTTGTGTAATTTGTGGTTTCTGTTTATAGCAAGCAAAAGTTGATCGCTTCAAAATTGAGAAAATTCTAATGAAATGAAACATACTGGTGCTACAAAAGGAAAGATCTATATGAATTGACGGGAAATATTTCATTTTTTTAAACTGGTAGAAACAGATATAAATCAGTGCTCGCTCAAAAGGTGATACTCATTGCGTTACCCGTTTGGAGTCGTCAAAGTGTTTGTTTAAACTTAAAATAATTTTCCACATTTAATTCGTTTGACGGTCTTCAATGCGGACTCATTTCAGCTTTTCAGTTTTTTGAAGCAAACGGTTTTGAAACATCTCTTGATGTTTCGCTAAATGTAGTCTTTAAATCGAACTAAACGCTTAGCGTCTCGCTCACTTAGAAAAACCCACGTGGTCTGTTCCTTAATTCGCAGCTCTAAAACAAGCTTTAGCTTCAATAGACAATATCATTCGTTACCTACCTCTGCACTGTGTCGTTTTGGTCAACTGAACTTTTCAGTGGAAAATTTTGCGGCAGATTTCTTCAAAACTTTCATCACATGTGCAGCATTGTCAATCGATTCGTTCAATAAAAACTCGAATTACCGGAACTTCAAGAATGTGAAACAAGAGCCTTGTTTCAATTTTTTATGTCAGGTAGGATTTTACCAAACGTACACGTGCGTTCGAGAAGGTAGAGCCATTATTTCACGAGAAACTGAACAAATTTAGAATATTATTAACTCAGTATAGGTTATTTAAAGCTTGTTAACTTGTACGTTGTAAAATATATCGTTAATTAATTCAAAACATTCATGATAATCCGTGTAAATGTTTAATTTAATGAAGGATCGATCGGCACTGGAGCAGCAACCCTCTGAAACCGCATCCCGCGTAGTCTTAAATAAAAACTGTTATAGTCAATTTTATTTCTTTCGCTTTCTTATAATAACATTCATGAGAGTATAATTTAAGTCAAGAGATTATAAGACATTACATATCCTCTTGTACACGTATATCTTTCCTTGGATTAATAATTTATGCATTAGAAAAAAATTTAGTAGCATGAAAAATATTTTTTAAAAGTTTTGGTTTGTGTTTCCATTACCTTTCCTTTATTTTGTTTTACGTGACTAGCAAAAAATACTATCGACAGACCTCGAGCAAAAATTTAAGAGAAAAGCGTTCTCTATCGGTCAGCTTTGCACTGAAAGTACTTATACGATCATATATAACTCGAGGATGGTCTAACTCCATGGACAGCAAAGTGCTTGTCTGATTGTCTGCTTCATTGCTCGTCTCACCTCACTAATCTTCCAGCAGTAAAGAAACGGGTTTAACGTCGAGTTAAAGTAAACAAGGATAATTGCCATTTTCAATGCGACGACTGAGTGTGATGAATATGTTGTACTATAAGTGACTACAGTTCTCACAATAAAGTATGGTGTATAACAAATAACTAATACTGACTGTACCCACAGTGCACTGTGCACTGCTTTTCTGTATCGCGCCATGTTCAGTGCATTTGGTTGGCTCGGCTGTTGTTGAACTTGTGCCTGATGATGTCTAAGAGTGCGAAAAATCTTTGTGTACGAGGCGAGTGAAATAAGCAGCGAAAGTGGTATCGATATCAAGATACTCAAAAGTGTTATACGCTGATCGAAAATGATGCATAAAGAGGCGACGAGACAAAAAACCCAAAAGCTAGCTATAATGATATAAATGCGCTTCAAAGTCACAATCTCTTTGTATCTCAGCCCCAACAACAGGGCAAGAAGCCTGTCCACGCTTATTACCGCCATCGTCAGCAAAGAAACTCCACATAATGCTACGCCTGTAATGTAAGTTGCTTCTCTTGCGTAATGACAAAGGCTCCAGTGTTCGTGAACTGCGGACATCAAATAAGTTACATGGAGAGGCTGAGCAACAAGACCAACCAACAGGTCAGTTGTTGCCAGACAGCGATACAAGAGTTTGGACGGCGGATGAAGGGAAGATTCCTTGTGAAGGGCAACAAGGATAAGAGAATTACCAAGAAATGCTGTGATGGCCAGGAAAATGTTGACTCCTGCGAAAAAAACTGATGCTGATTGAAGCCCATCCATGATCAAAGAGGGGGAGCATACCAGTTCTTCAAATATTTTTGTCTTTGTTCCACCTCTGGTGAAATTTGTTGTCGACATAATTCTGCATTCGTTTCCCCTGTTCTTGCAACGAGAAATATTTCGTCTAAACAGGACACGCCGAACTATGATAACTGAAACCTTTCATAAAGACTTCCTCCCTCGCGTTTAATCATTTAAAATGCGTCAGAAATTTGCAGCTGTGGGATGCCTCAGGTATGAAACTGATTCTGGTTGAAGCCCAACCAACAAAGAGGAGAGCATAGCAGTTCTTCAATTGTTTTCGTCTGTGTTCCAACTCTTCTGAAATTTGTTGTAGGTTATCTAAGATTGCAACGAGTAATATGTCGTCTAAACAGCCCACATCCAGCCACGATCAATTACACCTCATACTTCAATAATGATATTTATACACACTGAGAATTCTTCATCAGTGTTTGCTCGTTTAAAATATGTCAGAAAATTGTCAGTTGTGTTCAAAAATTGAACCTTTGAAGTGCCTCAGGTATGAAATGGAAATAAGTAGAAAATGGAGAGACATCTGTGGTATCATTCTTTTAAAAGAACGACGAACAATCTCCTTTTATCTAGATCAACTTTCACTGATAGGGTGCTAACCTGGTGTCCATATTATTCGTGTGAAGTTCAGACTTGTGTCATTAGTAGCCATGAAAAATTGGAAATTAAAATTTCAAGCTGGCGCGATTTTATTTGGTCTTAGAAAAGTGCGATTTGAGACAATCTGCGAATGCATCAAACAATTTAAATGTAAATTTTGGTCACAGATGTAAACGTATTTTTAAATGTTTGAATCAATTTGTAATGACAGGTTTTTTCTTTCCGCTTTTCGTCCCCGGACTGATATTAAAAACAAAACCGTAACACGATGTTATGCCGCGCGCCATCGATTTTTTCAAACTCGTTCTCTACCAGCTTTTTCACTTTCGTCAGGAAAGTTATGATGATTTTTTTAACAAAAACTGTTTTGCCTATTTTGCCTATTTCGCCCCACGATGTAATTTCCTTTCTTCATCCCTTTGGTCAACAAGATAAGAGAAATGGGCGCTAACTGAAAATAAAGGAGGCGGAGAAACCATCAGCCATGATGGCACTACGCGCTCGGTATCGTTTTAATCCCAGAGTTCCATCGGGTACCAAAAAAAAAAAAATTTCTTTTCCTTTGATGCCAATTTTTATTCCAACTTTACATTTGTCATTTTCGATCTACAATTTTTCTTCCTTTAATGTTAATTCCTTTAGCAAGCACACAGACATCGGTCAGTAATATTTCTGTTTGACGATATGATAAGGAAATTCTCTTTTGTCAGTTTTTGAATGACAGCATAAGCGGTTTAAACGGTATATTTAAATATACTGTCATTCTTTTGGGCCGGTAATTAAGTGCAAAGATTATCCCTGTATTGTGGTGAATTCTGAATTCCTAAAAAGCGTCATGGAACGAGTTCAAGGAAAAAGAAGCGAAAGTTAGGAATAATTAATCACTCGGGTTGGGAGACATAAGATCAATAAAACTTGAAGAAAACACAGACCAGCATTAAACTGGATATATCAAATATTTCAAAAGTTGACAATATTCTTGCCATGAGTTAATCTGTGAGAGCATCCAGAAAAATATTTCATTTTAGTTAACGCCAATTGCACAAGAACGATCCCTAAAACCCTATTTCCTACGTAACATTTCAAATAAAAACCTCCTCACTATTGTTTACACGTTTGAAATACGTCAGAAAATTGTTCGCCGTGTCAAAAAAGCTTTTTTTGTGCTTAACTTGTCATGTACATCACGTATGAAATATGAATAACAGAAAACTATTCAAAGACATCTTTAAAATTATTATTTCATGTTGCAACAAACAATCCCGCTTTATTTAGCTTGCGAGAAGGCACTCAATATTATGGCTTCAATGCGAATTGAATAAGTTTGAGGATGTAAGGCCAAAGATGCAAAGACTAGCTGACAGAAAAACTAGATGAATGACTTAATTAATTGCTAAGAGATGCGTCAATCCTTCCTCAGAAAGAGTTCTTTCCCAGGGAATTTTCTTTTCAGTACAGCGACGGTAGCTTTAAAACTAATCAAACAAAAAGATGTTTGTCGCAACCAGCTGTTGATTTTACTAGATAACGTTTCAGTTTAATTCAAATTAGCATTGAAAGGGAATTTCCTTGACAAACACAAAGACATGGGCTATATTTTTTTATTTTACAATGCGATATGAGACTCCTAGGTCTTAAAAGATCTATTTTATCACTTCTTTAATGGGTGAAATAAACATGTCGTTTTTAGGCCGATAATTAGATGGTATGGTATTGAAGCAAATTCTGAGCTCATAATAAAGCTTTGAAAACGAATTAAAAAAAACATTTGAGGAACTTTGGGACAGCAGTTAATCACTCGGAAATGGAGGAAATAAAATCCGTAAAACTCAGAGACAACCTAAAGATACACCAGTGACAAACTGAACTTATGGTGACCTCTATACAATAATACGAAACTTGTTTTTCGCCGTTGCCAATATAACTTCAGCACATCGATCGATCTGTAAAAAAATTCCATAACAAACAGAGATGATCAATTTTATTTCAAATACTTTCGTAACTTTCAGTTAAATATACAAGTAACAGAAACTTCTTCACATAAGCTTTACGGGTAATTTTCTGATCACAAAACAAACAAATTCTAGACTTAAACTGGACTGTCTCTTTTGGCAATATGGCGTCAACATCAACGTCAAGCGCTTTCTTTTAATTACGAGTTTAATGAGTCGAAATAGTTTTCTCGAAACACACAACATCGGCCTCAAACACATCTCTTAAACTACTCTTCGAAGTTTTATCTGATGCCTTCATATTGCTAAGAGGAGAAAACATGAAAGTAAAATGTTTGCATATCTTTTCTTCGATTATGACATCTTGTATTTTAGCATAGCGGCAAGAAACCATATTTTTGAAAACACATAGCTACGGTTACCTAGTCTGTCGTTAAATTTTTCTCAGAGATATAAAGACTTTCGACAACAGCCTGTGCAACTATTCTATTGAGCCACTTATTTACTTTTATTCAAAAACGTATTTAACGACTGCTCTCTAATAATAATCATGACTTAATGAGTTTGCTTTGAAAGTCTGAAGAACTCGAGGAAGACCTAACTCAGCAAAGTGCTTCTCTAATTGTCTGCTTCACTGCTTGTCTCACCTCACTAATCTTCCAGCAGTATAGGAACGGGTTTAACGTCGAGTTGAAGCAAAGTAAAATAATTGCTACTTTATATATGACGAATAAGAGAAATGAATATTTTTTGGTATGAGCGATCACAATATTCACTGTACATAGTGGTGCATAACAAACAACTAATGCTAACTGCACCCACAGTGCACTGTATACTGCCTTTCTGAATCGCGCCATGTTCAGTGCATTTGTTTGGCTCGGCTGTTGTTGATCTCCTACTTGTGCTTGATGATATCTGAGAGTGCAAAAAATCTTTGTGTACGATGCGAATGATATTACCAGGCAAAATGATATAACTAGGGAGCTGTACATAAAGATTATACGGTGATAAAAAAATCCACTTAAAGAGGCGACAAGGGTAAAAACCCAAAAGGTAGTTACAATAATATACGTGCGCTTCAAAGTTACAATTTGCTTGTATCGCAGTCCCAACAACAGGGCGAGAAGTCTGTCCAAGCTTATGGCCGTCATCGTCATCAAAGACACTAAAAACAATACATAGGCTGTGATGTAGGCTGCGTCCCTTACGTATCGACAAAGGCTCCAGTGTTCTTGAAACACGGACATCCAATATAGAGCACAGAGAGGCAGGGAAACAAGACCAACTAACAGATCAGTTGTTGCCAGACAACAATACAGGAGTTTGGACGGCGGATGCAGGGAAGATTCCTTGTGAAGTGCCACAAGGATAAGAGAATTTCCAGCAAATGCTGTGATGGAGAGGAGAATGTCAACCGCTAAGAAGCAAATTGATAGTTGTTGTTGAAGCCCACCCACCAAAGAGGGAGAGCATAGCAGTTCTTCATATGATTTCGTGTGACTTCTACCGCTACTGAAATTTGTTGTCGACATAATTCTGTCTTCGGCGTTTCCCTTTTCTTATAGGTTTCTGTTCTTGCAACGAAAAATGACAGCAAGGATTACTGTAGCTTTACTTCCTAACTAACAATCGCATGCTGACTTACTCATTTAAAATGCATCAGGAAATTTTCGATTGGATCAAAAAAAAATTTTTTTTTCCCGGGAACCTTTGGGTGCCTCTGTTATGAAATAGCAATAAAAGGCAATTATAGAAACATCTGTTATTTCAGTGTTTTTGCAGGGCGGCAAGAGTCGCTCTTTATCAGAATTAAATTTCATTATAATGGGATGCAAATCGAGGGTCCATTCCTTTCGTGTGAAGTTGAGACTTGAATCATTATCAGCTACGGAAAGCTAAAAATGCAAAAGCTCACTCTGGTGATGTCAATTGTACTAGGAGAAAACTCGAATTTGTGACAATCACCGAATGTACTACGTAGAAAACACAACTATTCAACTATGCAAACTTGTTTCAAAATATTTGAAATTAACTGTGTATCTACCTGCGCTTTGTAGGTTTTTTTTCTCTCCGTTTCGTATCCGACTAGAATTAACAATAAAACAGTAACAGGATCAAGTTATCCCTTTGGCAAAACATTTTCTACAACTGTAAAAGGAAAGTTATTCAATTTTTGTTCCTGCGATTCTCTTGAGCAATTAACGATTCTACTTTGGTGATAACAGTTAGTTTCCAATTATGAAGTAAACAGGATAATTTATTAATCGAGATGGAAAATGAAGGGATGGGCGCTCAAAGCTTAACAACAGTCGATGAAAAATTTACAATTGTTCTAGGAGAGGCTTCGTCTTTACCAACTCTGACCCATATTTCAAACTCTCTAAGATTGTCTCGTGCTTTATATCGCACACTGAGGAACGAATAAGTTGTTAAGATGACACCTGCTTGCCACGACAGATTCGGACTTGCATTAGGCCTAGTTTACATGATTACGTTTGTTTCGACGTTATACATATAAGTAAATACCCGTTTTTAAAAACCTTTCAAATTTGAAAATAAATATCAAATAAATTTATCTTTTCTTTTCTCATCAAAAAAAGACACCGTGATGAGAAAAGAAAATACACACACACACACACACACACACACACATATATATATATATATATACGTAGACCATTTAATATATTTTTTTCAAATAGCAGCATTTTCGAATATATAAACCATTTTTCGAAAATGCTGCTATTTGAAAAGATATATTAAATGGTAAATGTTTATATTTATATATTAACTTTAGATCCATTGTTTTATTTTCGGACGGGAAAATTGCTGATAGACAAACCAACAACTCATCCAATTCTTTAATACAGAGTAAGAGTTTATCCAGAAAATTTTCAATTTCTGCAGCTGATCAAACTACTAAAAGCGTTTGTGTGGGCTGCGACAAGTTTTTAATCTCAAAGGTATTCAGTTTTAGTACAAATTAGCACCAAAAGGTAATTTCGTTGACAAACAAATAGACATCGGTTGTATTACTGTTTGACAATACGATAGGAACTTTTTTTTCACCTTTTTAAATGATGAAATAAGCAGTACATGAAGATAAGATGTCATCTGAGTGCCCATTATTAAATTGAAATATTCTCCCTGTATTGAAGACAATACTAAACAATAACGAGGAAAAGTTAACCTAGTGACCCTATGATATAATTTTCTTTCTTCCTACGTCTGGTTATTGAGATAATAAAAGTGTTTTTGTACCAAGAAAGCTCTCGTGTAAAAGGCAGGTAATTTTGCGATGCTCTGGGGCAAATGTCAAAATTTCCCTTTCATCACAACAGTTACATCTTAATACTGAAGTGAAGAAAACAATTTATAAGTGGTGGTCGAAAATCAATGGACGTATGCTAAGGAATTATCAAAACTCGCCGCACAGTTCTTCAATTCTACCTTCATCAGCAACATTTACTTCAGAACTCCCTCACCAGCGTTTACTCTTTGAAAAGACTATTGACAAAAGATCGATGTACAACGATTCCATTGAACTTCTAATTTTCTCCGCTTAAGCAATAATATTTTTGACGAGCGCTCCCTAACAATTATCGTGACTTAATGAAAGTCTTACAAGACCAAACCGAGGAGGAGGTAACGCTACGGACGGCAAAGTACTTCTCTGATTGTCTGTTTTACTGCATGTCTTACTCCCCAAATTTTCTAACAACAAAATACGGATATAACTTCAAGTTAAAGTAAAATGAGACAACTGATACTCTCCATACAACGACTGAGTCTGATTGATATGTTTTACTATAGATTGGTGCGCAACAAACAACTAACGCTAACTGCACCCGCAGTGCACTCTACACAGCCTCTCTGTATCGCGTCAACCGAATAGCGACTGCATCTTAACTAGTAAATAGTGTGTGTTAACCCCTTAACTCCCAGATCAAATTGTTATTTCTCCTTACTATCAGTCATACAATTCTTATAATGTTAGTCAAGAGAATATATTATTGGATCAACTAATTATCCCCAAATTGATATTTTTCTTTACTCTCACTACTTATCTGTTTGATTTTGTATTGATATTGTAAGGAGAAATTCTGTTTTGGTCACTCATGGGAGTTAAAGGGTTAATTAATTAAGATATGAAGCACACAGGAAACTGAGGAGACATCATCCAGCCATGACACCCTCGGCCTCGTTTTGAGTACGAAATTTCATCAAATACTAAATTATTCATTTCGTAACATATTTACTTTTCTTTCGACTCTACATTATTTATTTTAACTTTTAAACCATTATTTTATTCATCGATGGGGAAATAGCTGAGAAGCAAACCACACGAGTGCCTTCATTGTCAAAAAAAATGCAACAACTTATTTGATTCTTGTGTAAAGTTCTTTTCTCGGCAATTCTCCTTCCCATTTATCTCTTCTTTAATTATTCCGAATAGCGACTGCAGCTTGACTGGAAAACAGTTATAAATAAGCAACACAGCGGTCAAATGATTACGCGTGCGCTTTTAGATGGATAATTTGCTCTTCTAGACATTGAGAATCCAAATGATGCGTAGTTTTTTGCAGTTTCTTAGGAAAGTTCAAAGTTTCTAAGGCCTAGACTTATACACTTTGTTGCTCTAGACTTAACCCATGTGGTTCTAGTTTACACTCTCGTACTTTTTTTTAAACTTTGCCTAGCGGCGTGATGAAATCGTAAGCCTGGACGTGCTGGCGGTGGTTATTCCTTATTGCATTTATGGTGGAGTTGCCGTCATCACCGAGGGAAATGTGTGAAAAAAGGAAGAACCAGTGCCAGATGAGATATTGGTGACGATAACAGGTCTATGTTATGATAGTAGACTGTGTAGCGAGGGTAGAAGAAAGGTTCTGTAATTTGATTTAGACCAAGATTTAAGTTTTCTCCGAAATCCCTCTCTCAACTGTATTACGCATTCAATTTGGAATAATTAGGAACTTAACCTCTCCTTCTCCACTTTACGCAGAACACGCGTTTGAAAATCCCCCGTATTCTTTTCAAAACACGTGCATGCGCAGTGTTTGACTGCTGTGGTTGAATTGGCCGCTACTAGCTGTTTACTCCAATCAATAAAATTTAATTCTGGCGGGACGCGTAATTATGCACACAGTAGTAAAGGGCCCTCCCGTACTAGCTATTAGACGCTGACAAAACTTGTTTCTCTTCACCAAAAATCACATCAAATTTGTCCTTGCTAAATTTGAAGCATGCTGCACGTATCAGCATCCCCCGGGGGACCCTGTACATAAGACAAAAATCGTCCTAGTAATGCTTATTTCAGGGTTTTTTTAGCGAAAAAACACCCTAAAACGTACCAACTACGTCTCTGGTAGTCCACTTAAGTTTCAGACACCGTAAAAGGTACCAGATCGCTGATTTTGACCCCTAAAAGGTACGACAAGCATCCTCACCCATTTCTCATCGCCTAACCCTTCTCCCCCCACCCCCAGGTCAACACCTAAAAAACAAAAAAATGTGATTTGCCAACTACGAGCTGTCAATTCACCTCGTAAAATTCACGTGAACTGGTTAATCAATTATAAAAACCTTTAGGCACTTATCTGTCAGATTTTTATGGTTGACACAGGAGCTCGTTACCCTAATGGGTTCCTGTTGACAAAATCTGTCCTGTTAGGAGGCAGGACGGCCGTACTTTTGAAGTTTTGTCCGTCTTGACATAATTTGGCAGGGATTAAAATAACTGTTCGTCTGCATTTGTTAAAAAGAGTTTTGTACTAATTTTTTTTCAAATTTTACAGAGACTTGCGTACTGCGGAAGGGCCCTAATTGTTTCAATTAAGCTCAATGTTGTTAGTTGTACAGTACGTCCATAATAACCGAGGTTATTAACCTGGAAGAGGTTAACGTCGGAAATGTTGCACGCACGTTTGAAAACCTTCATTTGGTAAGTGTACGTTAGTCTGCGTAGCCAGTCATCCAAAGGGAGGGGAGGGTAGTCTCCTCCCCTATCCTCTTGAGAGCCTTTTACGCAGCTGGCTAAAAGAACATGTATCACGCAGCATAAACGCCCACTTATTTAATACTCGCTTTCCAAGGTAAATTTTGTTAAAATTCCTTTCAAAGAAAGTGCATATCTTCACTTTGGATTCGACAAAGAACAAAAAATTCTGCACTACAGAATCTAAAATACTAAGCCACATGAGCTACCTTAAGTAACATAAAACGTGCGCGCAGATCGAGCGCAGAGAAAGTCTAAGTGATATGTAGTTTTTCGCAGTTTCTTGGAAAAGTTCAAAGTTTTCTAAGGCCTAGACTTATACGCATTGTTGTTCTAGACTTAACCCATGTTGTGCTAGTTTACACTCTCGTACTTTCTTTTAAACTTTGCTTGGCGGTGTGATGAAGTTGTAAGCTTGGCCGTCCTTGCGAGGGTAAAGGAAAAGTTCTGTAATTTACCTTTATCGCCGGAACAAAGCGTCTCCGTTAAAAATAAGATGAGATATCTCACTTTAAAATAAGGCCAAGCTTAAAGCTTTCTCCGAAAACCCTCTTTCAACTGCATTACGCATTCAATTTGGAATATTTAGGAATTTAACTTTTCCTTCTTCACTTCA